CACCACGCCGCCCGAACGCCCCGCCCCCCCTCCGAGCGCCGCGCCGCCCCGAAGCCCCCTCCCCCCTCCGAGCACTACGCCACCCGAAGCTCCGCCCCCCTGAGCACCACGCCGCCTGAAACCCCCGCCCGCCCTCCGAGCGCCGCACCGCCGAATCCAAAAAAAAAAAAAAACCGAGCACCGCCCTGCCCCAAGGTGCCGCCCCAAGCACGTGCTTGGTCAGCTGGTGCCTGGAGCCGGCCCTGTTGGTGGGGAGTGTGTGAGGGGAATTACTTAAAAAAATTCTAAGGTCAGGTGAGCTAGTAGAGCAGCAATTTTAATATCTTCCAGGCAGAAGCTTAGTCTCTGTCATCACCTCTTCATTTATCACAGGACAAATATTTGAAGCCGTTCCATCCCCACGTGACTAATTGAAAACATTCCCTCCTTCTCTTCTCCACTAGCTCGAGCGTTCCTTCAAATTCATGCGAGAGGCAGAGGATCAGTTGAAAGCCATTCCCCAGTTTTGCTTCCCCGATGCTAAAGACTGGGCGCCCATCTACCAATTTGCCAGGTAGGCAGTGTTTTCCTCTCCCCCCCATGAGAACTGGGTTTGTACGTACAACTCACTTAGCCATGGGAGCTGTTAAGGCAAAGAGAGAGAAACCCAGTGGGGGCAGAGACACTCCTGGAGAGTCCAGAAGGGAACAGAACTGACAGCGTGAGAGGGGAAAGATGGAAATATGAAAGGAGTAAAGTGTTCTCTGGGCGGTGGAGTCGGTGTGTGTACGGTGGTGTTTCCTAATGTGACAGGTTTTTTTCTTCTTCTGGTCTCTGTTCTCCCTTCTGCAGTGAGACCTTCTCCTTTGTCCTGACTGGTGAGGATGGGAGTAGACGGTTTGGATATTGCAGAAGGCTACTGGTAACTATTCATTATTCTGTTACCTAAAAGGGTCCGAAGGGGAAACCCTCCTCTGTGGTGTTTGTATTGCTGGCACCAACTGGACGGGGGTGGGGGACTTCTGCTGTTCTATTCAGTGAAGAAGCAAAAGGCACAGCAGAGGAGACTCTCCAGCTTTCTGCTTCCCTGTGCTGCTCTGTTTAAGGTCCCTCTTCAGAATCCATCCCCTCACTCCAAAATACAGCCCCTCTTCGCGTTTCTCACGATTTCGTGCTGAGAGCTTCTTCTGTTTCACCAGCCAGTTCCTGAGCGATCAGGCCCCGAGCAGCACAGAGAATGCAATCGCTTGCTCTCTGTCTAGGTTGAACTAACTACCTTTTTTTGGTGCGTTTGTGTTTCTCTCTTGAAAGCCCAGTGGGAAAGGGAAGCGTCTCCCTGAAGTTTACTGCATTGTGAGCCGCCTTGGATGCTTCAACCTCTTCTCTAAGGTGAGGGGGAAAGAGGGAGAGAACCTGCGCTGTGGGCAGTAATGAAGCTGAAAGCAAAATCAAGGCTAGAAGAATGAGGTTCAGTAAAGTGGAGGGCTCAGACTTACCTATCTCATAGAACTGGAAGGGACCTTGAAAGGTCATCGAGTCCAGTCCCCTGCCTTCACTAGCAAAACCAAGTACTGTCCCTGACTTGAGAGCCTGGAAGATGCCATTGGAAGGGGGAACACACACTAATTACATGAACTTTGCAAACAGACTATTAAAAATTAAATTACATAAAATATGGATCAGCAAACATTGGCTTGTTCCTTTAATAAAACGACCAAGAGAAAGGATGAAATCCTGGCTCCATTGAAGTCAGTGGGTTTTACTGTTGACTTCAGTGGAGCAAGGATTTCACCCAAGGTTTCTACTCTAGTCTCTCTTGCTCACTCCATAGTATTATGATACTGCATATTTGGGCTCCACACATGCTGGGGTAAGGAGGGAATGTTAATGTTTTTATATTTTATTCTCTGTCTCCCTCTTGCCTCCTGTTTATACATCGGTGGCTTGATGTTCTTTCTTCCAGATCTTGGACGAGGTTGAGAAAAGACGGGGGATTTCCCCTGCTTTGGTGCAGCCTCTCATGAGGAGTGTCATGGAAGCTCCTTTCCCTGCGCTGGGCCGGACCATCACCGTCAAGAATTTCCTACCAGGCTCAGGGACTGAAGTAAGGACAACACCAGAGCTGGAGGAGGATGGGATGATAGGACAGGCCAGCAAGCACCTGCTGGAATAATAAATCAGGCCTGCACCTGTAGTGCAGGGCTGTGGGAATATGCAAATTCCTGTGAAGTGGAGGCTCGAGTTTAGAGTCAAAGGGATTGATTCTCAGTTCCTCTGTTCCTGAGGCAGGTGTCTTCAAAAATCCTTCATGCTCCCTGTATTCTGGGGCTGTTCAGGGCCACTAATGGCTCTAGTTCTCTGTGGTCTGCCTCTTCCCATGACTCAGCCCTCTAGCCAGGTCACTTTAAAGTCTCTGCCCTTCCGGAATATGAGAGTCCACAAAGAAACTGTCCACTGCCTTTCTAACAAGGTCTTCAGCCCCAAGTCTGGGCCTTGTTGTCCTCACACCCTTCTCTCAGGGTGTTGCACTCTCTTTATCCCCTTCTCAGGGGCCAGGATTTCTCAGGGTTCTCCTCTGGTTCCCCTAATACAAATTCCAAACTAAAGGTATACTAACTAAAAAGTCAATTCCTGCCCTCCTTGGGCTTCATCTTTTATCCCTCTCTGCTGCTCTGGTCCTCCACTGAGCACTTCCTAGGACTCTTTCCATGGTAGAGTCCAAATCCTGCCCTTCTATCAGGGCTTACCACTGGAGCCTGCTCCACTCCCAGCGGCTGTTTTATCTCTCTTCTGGCTTCTGCCAGAGCTCTCTGTTTAGGAGAGGATCGCAGGGCCAACTTCCTTGGCTTCTTCCTTGAGCCGCTTCATTCTGTAGTCCCAGAGAGTTACCGCAGACTCTCTCCCGGCAGCCCCCTCCTCCTTCATCTTCTTGGGTTTTGTGGCACAGCAGAGTCACATTCTGTGTGTCTTACTGCCATGCACTGGGCTTTGGAGGTAGGTTATGATTTAAAGTCTGTCACCTTTCCCAGTATTCTTAAAGAATTGCAAAATAGCTTTTTAAATTGGGCCCCCATTTTCCTTGTATTCTGGACAGGACTGGCAAAGAAAATATTCTTATTTATATGGAAAACTCAGAACCCTTAGTATATCTCCTTTCACTGGTACAGTTTTTACAATTCCATGAGAGATGATCCATCATTTGCTGGGCCGTACATGTTTCACATAGTCCATCCTTTTGTTTGTTTATTGGAAATAGGTTACTATTTCATCCACAAAGACCTGTTAACATTTTGAATAAAGCCATTTTGCTCTTAGAATCATAGAATCGTAGGACTGGAAGGGACCTCGAGAGATCAGCTAGTACAGTCCCCTGCACTCATGGCAGGACTGAGAATGTTCATCTCAGGGCCTTGGGCTATACCAACATTTTCAACTATTGGACATAATTCACAGAATTTTTTCCCTTTTATTTCATGTGCTCACAGTTCTTGCCATCCCTTCCTTAGTTCATTTTTGATTAAGTGCTTAAATTCCAGTTTGCTTAAGGGGATCTCTAGGTCAACTTGTTCGGCCTTACTAGCATTTTTTGTCTCTTTGTCGGCCAGTTCATTGCCAGCTAGCCCTACGTGTGCCGTGATCCATGCTATTATTATGGTCACATACAATTGTGCCAATTCAGCTGTTAGCAGTAATATTTCATTACATATGTGTCTGCTGTCAGACTTGCCATTATATAGTGTCTGCAACCCTGATAAGGAATCAGACAAGGTGGCCATGGCAGCTGGCCGCAAAGCTAGGGCCCAGGTTAGTGCCAGCAATATCCCTATTAGCTCAGCCGGAGATAAAGCTAGTGAGTCTTATGGCTTTCTTGAGTCTGAATGTGGGTGCCCAGAAAGCTATTCCCACTCTACCCATTCCTTCCTCTGGAGCCATCAGTATGCATTTGACAATAGTGTTCCCACGTATCATAGCTACATTGATTTACTATATCTTGTATATTAATCATTCTTCTCCTTTTGTTCATCATATAGTTCCATATCTATCTTGAGGAGGTGGTTCTCCGGAGATGGAGTATTTTCCCAGTGCTAGAGATTTTGGCCTCTTTTTTAAGCCTTTATTTTCACAGAGATCATTTATCCACTTCCTTACCCTACTTACTGAGGATTTTTGAGTTTTGTCCTACCTGCTCTCCACTTAATTTCCAACAATTAATATATATTAGCTTAGTGTTATCTTCACTATTATCTAGTACTTTGGCCCTAAAGGCTAAGTCTTGGAGCTTCATTCTCAGAGTGATAGGCATGCTCCAGCTGCTATCTGCATTACATACAGAGGCGAGGTAATGAAGGCACCGCATGCAATATGCAATGCCTGTGCTTGGATACAGTCTAGTTTTCTCAGATTTGTTTTCAATGCTGACCTAAAGGCCTAGCAGCCATACTTAATAATAGGTCTGATTAGGGTTCGCCATTTTCTTAGTAAGTTGATTCTCCCTTTGCACGTATCTATAATGTTTTTGATATGGTCCTGTCACGGGGTTCACAACTCACTGCTAGGGCCGCCTCCTCCTGGCTGGTTTGGGGATTAGCTCTTTCGGCCTGACGCCTCTTCTTATGGTTTCTCAGCCCGTCATCTCGCTCTGTCGCCCTGAGGCCCTTCTCCTGCTCCTCAGGAGCTGCAGCACCTCCTCTTCATGGCTTGCATCTCTGGCCAAGTCACAACAGTCCTCCCCTTCCGTGGTTCTATCACAGTCTTCCACAGCATCCCAGGCAGTCCTTAAATCCACTGCCCTGGCTTAAGTAACTCCCTCAGTGATGGAGATAGGGCCCCTGGATGGATAGTCCCAGATGGTCCTCAAGATCACTGCCCAGATTGGGTCACTAATTCAGTGGCCCATAGGGGAACCCAGGCCCACCCTGAGGTTCCAGTCCAGGGGCCCTATCTCTGGCAGCCAAGGTCTGTACTACCCCAAACCTTCCTACCTCTCTCTTGGACTACTTCCTACATTGCCTCTCCCAGGCTTTCATTCTCCACCCTTCTAGCCAAATCCTTTTCCTCTGGGTCTGCGAGGCAAACCCTTACTCTGGGGTCTAAATCTCTTTCTCTTCCTTGTCCCATGAAGAGTGACTGAAGCCCTCTTCCCAGCAGCACCCCCTTTTGCTACCAGCTCCCTGGTTTTATAGATGCCTGGCCTGTTCCTGCACAGGTGAGCTTCCCTTAATTAGGGCTTTCCTCTCAGCTGAAATGTCCCCTAGTCTGCAGCCTAATAGGTTAATTGGCCCATCTGTCTTATGTTAACCCCTTCAGGGCAAGTGGAGGAAGCACGCTCCATCACAGGTCCCTCCATGTGAGCTTATTATCAGATATCACACCAAGTTGTGCAGATCATTCATTTAGTTTTGTCAGTGGAGAACTTGAAGCCCCACCTGTTTCCCCATTCTGTACTCCCGCAAAGTGCATCGCTGATTCCTTTGGTGGCATGTCTGAGGTTTCTGCTTTTGGTCCCTGTGGCCTGGTCACCAGCAAATCATGTGAAGCCTATTCCTGCACTCGTTTCCTTTGGAAGGTCATTTATCATGATTTTAAAAAGGGCTGGACTAATGACAATCCCCTGTAGAGTTCAATATACAGTGGAAAAGGCTTTCCCTACCCGGACCCGCGTAGTTCTTTGTGTAGGAAATCCCTTGTCCGTTTGTATATTCTTCCTACAGTACCCAGGGTTGCCACTTTAAATAATAGTCCCTCTTTCTGTAACACATCACAGGTTTTTTCTATGTCCAGGAAGGTTACTCTCATGTATTCGTTCCTTCTCAAGCTTTTTTGTGCTTCTGTGTCTATTGGTGTCAGTTGCACCCCTGCTATCTGAACCCACATTATGTTCCATCTGTGAGCCTATTTCCTTCTGAGTGTGCTATTCATCTCTCCATCCCCAGTCTTTTCATGGTTTTGGCTAAACATGCTGTGAGGGCAATTGGTCTGTAGGCCTCAGGCCTAGAGTGCCTCTTGCTGGGTTTCTTCACTGAGACACTAAGCACGTTTCCAGTCCCTAGATATTTCCCCTTTTCTCCGTATGCTATTCTGTCATTTTAGTATTACACTCAGGCTTTCATCGCCTAGGTATTGGAGCACTTCAAAGCTTACTAGCCCCCTTCTGCTACAAGCTTCCTCTCTTTATGTTAGCCAGCCTGTTCCTGCCCAGTCCCGGGCTTCATGATCAGTTAAGCCTGGCTCTCCCTCCAGGTGTAGCCTGCTATGTAAATTGGCCATTCAGGCACACATTAACCCATTCAGTGCCAAGTGGGGTAGAGTCTGGCTTGGCCCTGAGGGTAAATTTAAGTGGCCTTAGAGTCTCTGGGAAACCCATATAGAATATCTGTAGTGGAGCATGCCCCAGCCACACCCTCGGACTGCTGCCCACACCAGAGAGCTTCACTGTACGGGGTTATTCTTAGGGGGCTGTTTCTGCTAAGGCCCTTTAAGCTGCCACAACAGCACATGGGGCCTTAGCCTACCTGAGAACCAGGTCCAAAGTTGAGGGTGGGTCATGTGACGTACTGTGAAAGAATGGGCAAGGTGCTTTGAAGCTGGTTGCACCGGAGGAAAGATGGTCTAGCAGTTACGGAACTGGCCTAGGACATGGGTGACCTGGCTTGAATTACCTGCTCTGTTACAGACTTCCTATGTGAACTTGGGCAAGTCACTTTGTGCCTCAGTTCACCCTCTGTAACACGGGGATGATAATACTGCCCTATCTCACAGCGGTGTTCTGAGGAGAAAAACACTAATGGCAGTGAAGTGCTATGGTGAGGACTGTATGCATAGATAGAAGCAAAGGCAGTAGTCTGTGTTGTAATTGCTACCAGAGTGGATAGTCTACAAGTTAGACCTTGCTCCCCTCTCCTTCCCGTCCAGATTCTCATAGTGAAAGTGATCCTGGCTGTTTGAACTGACTGAAGAATTAGAAACATCCCCTGCCTCCATCCTTCCCCCTGTACCCTGCAGAGTGCTTCCCAGAATCCATTCCTGATGGGAACAAAATTCCACTCCCTGGGACTGCCCTTTGTCAAAAGACTAAACATAAAAGTCTGCTTGGGCATCACACACATAGGGAGGGAGCTCCCTGTGCCTATTTCAGTGGGAGAATCTGCAATGGATTTCTGCATCACCTGGAATGGACTCTGGATAGAGCCCCTGAGAGAGTGCAATCTGAACTGTTCCTGTGGCCTACTAAAATATAGGCCCTTGCCCAAACTGAACTCCAGGTTCTACTTGTTATTAGCCCTGTCTGCTGAACCTCATGTTGGGAGAACCTATTCATCTATGATAGCCATCTGCTTCAGACCTCCTCACCATCACTGCTCAAGGGGGTGGGGAAAATATGATGGGAAGCCAGTGCTGGCCTTCAGCTTCATCTGCAGGCCTTCATTTGTGGGTCCTGTAGAAAGACTAAATCTCAAGGCTTGCCACTCACTAACATAAAGTCTCCTTTAGCTCCAGCAGCAATGCTGTTTCTTTTGGTTGAGAGGGTCCCTGGTTAAAGTCCTGGGGGAGTCTGGCCCCTTGCTTGTCAGTGCACTGATTGAGGCCGTGACCTGTGTTTTGCTTCCTTCTGGCAGGTAATTGAGCTGCGGCGGCCTCTGGACTCGAGACTTGAGCATGTTGATTTTGAGTCCCTGTTCTCCTCTCTCAGCGTCCGGCACCTGAGCCGAGTGTTTGCGTCCCTGCTTCTGGAGAGAAGAGTGATCTTTATAGCAGACAAACTCAGGTACCCACCTTTGCATCTTCCTCTTGCGTTCTTGTAAACCAAATGTTAGTTAAGGAGAGACTGAGAAGGGAGTACTGGCCTCTCTGTGTTGTTCTTTTGTTCTTCTCTGTTATTTCCCAGCAAGTACAGCCAATGCTCCCAAAGGGCAGGAGCTCTGACGGGGTGACACACCCTCTACTGGACATGCTGCGAGAAACCTCAGCCCAGCTCTGGAACTTGCAAAAACTGAGCTTCCTTTGGTGCACAAAGGAAACCAAGTCCCCTTTACTCAAAATCTCACCGAGGCAGAGCTCCTTGCAATAAGGAAGCAGAACCCCACCTATTGCTTGGGAGGGAAACAATGTTCCCTTCTCAGCCATGCTCAGGCACCCACAGGAACCAAGCCCAGGGGTAGGGGTGGGGGAGAGGAGAGAGGGAACTCAGTGTCTCTTAGCCCTTTCGCTGAGGTTCTCAGATTCTGTTGACTAATTTTTTAATATTGGTTCTTGAGGTTTGGGGTTTAAACTGATTCACTCCCACAAGTTCAGCACAGGGGTCCAGGTCTCTTTAAGATTTTATGCAGCTGGTGCCTGGCAGCCATCCAGCTCTTAAGCACTTGAGGATTCAGAGAGAAGAATTCTCAAAGCTCGGTGACGGAAAAGCTACAGATGAGTAATGACACTTATGAGCGCGATCAGGTTTCAGCAGCGTACAATACCCCCAAGCTGTCTGTTTTCACAGATCCCAGCCAGCCGGGCTACAGCTCTGGGACTGGGGGAGGGAAGGCAAGTGGAGAGGCCCCTTTTATAGGGGAGCAAAGGAACAAGTCGCCCTGCAGGGGTCCAGGGCAGAGCTCATACAAATTCATCACACCAATGGGGAGGCTGGGTGCATACAGGCTGCAGCTGGTAGCACACAGGCTGCAGTTCCCCACTTTTGCTCCTTTACTGCTGCTTTGGGTCAAGAAGGGGAGGATCTATTTGGTTACATTCGCTTGACATGTTACATACATAGATTTTTTTCATATCTTCTTAAAAGTACATCAATATGCAAGGCATGAAAGCACTGATGCTGCCCTTAACCTGAGACAATCCTATGTTTCCCATGTCTAAACTACACAAATAATTTTGGTAATCTTTATAATGACAAGGTTTTGTTTGGGAGGTTTTTCCTCCCATATAGGATAAGTGCAGCATTATGACTGGATTCATTAGGGACAGGGGCATAGATTAACCTTTACACGATGATAGCCAGTGAGAATATGTGATGCCATGCAAGGATTTTATTGGTATAAATTTGGAATCAGCACATTGTTAGGCAGATGGTCCCCAATGAGTGCCGGTAAAACCCTTATATCATATTGCACCATCATGTGGCATATCCAGAATACGTGTGTGACAGAAAATATTGCAAACATGTTTTCTATCAGTATTCTTCTGACAGTAAAACCAGGTGCCTTAGTACTGAGTCCAACTGTCCAGGACTTGGAAAAAGAGAGAAAGTATTACAAACTGTAGAAGCCTCTAAAAATTATATACAATAGCTTTCCTATACATAAAGGTTTTAAGGTCTAGTATCTATGAATCTACAAGGGCTAGAATCAAGTACTATGTGCCGTGTTGCCATCACTCATGATTTTATTGTGAATCTTGTGATATTTGGTATTTCTCTTAGAGCCCCAGCTCCTGGAGTCAGTTATTTCACGAGAATCTCAGCTTTCTTTTTTTACCATCAGCTTAAACTAAGTTTCTAACCCACATAGTTGTGGTGACGAGTTTGAAAACATGACCCAAGAGTACCTTAAAGGCTCAGAAACCAAAAGTCAAAGAAAATAACCCAAATGTAATATTAAAAACAAAAATCCTTGATTTTTAAAGCCAATCTCATGATTTTTGAGACCTGACTCATGATTTTGGAACATTTGGCATTGGCAACACTGCAGTGTATCATAATGGGAAGCTGAGAATCTTTTCCATCCATTGATGGAAAGCTCCTATTCCTATCAGTGATGGCTTTTGAGATATTGGACTTCAAATCTATCACTGATTCAAGGCTGACCGTCACTCGTCCTGGAACAGGGGACAAGGAAATTGCCAAGTATTAAATAGTGTTTACTTTGGGAATGGGAATTGCACGTTTTGGGGGAAAGAAAACAAACATTTATCTGGCAAATAGATTTAAAAAAAAAGTAGAAAAGACAGCTGTTTGAAGCTGCTCAGGGGTTTGGAATGCTAGTAGGAGTCCAGGAGGGATGAATTAATGGTCAGAGTGCAGGTGAAGTGCTGAAAAGTGCGTGATAAATTGCGTTTATCGCACACCACTCTAATTTATCATGTGAATGTCATCACTGTGTTTATCTGTATGTGTACTTGTTGTGAGGGTATGTATGTATATATTAATAGAGAGAGAGAGAGAGAATGATACACACATAGTTTATTTATGTGTTTTAATTGCTACAAAATCTGAAGTCTCTGTGAAAGGAAGTGGAAAGGACTCTTGCCAAGTACTGTGTGAATTATTAAATGTTTTCAAGCTGAGCCAAAAACACATCTAACAAGTATAAAGCAAGTGAAATGCTTTTGTCTTTTCCATCTTTGGAATGAATATTGAATGTTTTTTTAAAAATCTGTCAATCCAAAGCTTGGCAGTGGACAAAGAGAGAATTTGGTTGTTAGTTTTATTCCCCCTGGCCATAGCAACAAGAGTAAACATTCCCTTTCAACCCAAAAAATGACTACCCCCCAAAATTGTTGCTCTATTGAGATAATCTTTCCCCAGCTTTGCTCAGGCCTGTACAGGCCTTCATGTGGGCATGGGAAAACACCAGTACTTAAAATCTGCTATGTGACACAAATGGATTAGACTATCTTTGTAGTGAGATTTTGTTTTCAAATCAAAGTGCCAGAGTGACAGTCCTGGACACTGAAGACCAAGATTTGCAAAAACAGATGTCTCAGAGTCAGACTTCTTAAGCCGAACCTAAATAGGTGGCCTGATTTCACCAAAGTGCTAAGAATGTGGCAGTTCCATTGGGCTGAGTGGAAGCTGCTGAGAACTCAGCACTTTAGAGATCAGAACACTTATCCAGGAGCCTAAATACGGATGTAGGAGCCTACCTTTAAGGTACCCATTTTTGAAAATCTTGGTCTAAAGTCCTGTGAGGGCCTGGAGGTCACCCTGGTGCACCCCCTTATGGTCAGGCATGGCACCGTAGGTGCACCCCATCTCACGTCCCTTCAGCTGGGTTATAATCAAGTCAGACGGATCTTTTTAATCAAAGAACACCTCCTTGCAAGGGTCTCATTTATTAGTGACAGCCACAAGCACAAGTAGCTCACTCAAGTACACCCAGGGATATTCGTTGCCTTGAGCTTAGTCCAGCTAGCCATCTCTGGCTCCTTCCTTCAGGAGACTCCTTATTCCTGTGCCCGAAAACAGCCTCTGGTCCAGCAACCCTTCTTGATTCATTCTCAGGGTTACCCCTTTTCAGTCCTTCCTTAAGCTGGAATCCCCAGCTCTCCTCCTGGGAACTGGGCTGTATGAGTTAATTCCACCCTTTCCCCTCACCTAGGAGCCTCACCAACTCTCCTCGCTGGAGCTGGGTGGGCTCTGTTAGGCAGATTTTGTGGTCCTCCCTAAGCAGGATTCCTTAGCTGTCCTCTCTGGAACGGAGTCATGGATTAGCCAGCTGTGGGACCTTTACCAGCTTCACCCCCAGCTGGACCAGCCTTTCCCTGCTGGTGTCGCCTACTGTCCACAATGCTATGAGAAAGGAGGCAACTTTTATGCTGTTCCCCTTCTTTCAGCTCATCCCAATTGGCTGTGGGGGAGGGGAGCCTTGCCCCTCTCTCTCTGCCAGGCTTCTGGCTCTGTGTCCTTAAAGAAACAGTAATGGGATTTCATCCCGAATGCTTTTTACTCCCGGGACCACTTCCTCTCTCTGCGTGTCTCCCAAGTCCCTGTATATATAATCAGGCCTTTCACCCTCTTAAAGGGCCAACCTATGTGATGGGGTGGGTTGACCATTAGGCACCACTGCTCTTAAAGGACAGATTACCCCGTCACAAGTCCTATAGATCCCTGCTGGGGACTGCAGCTGTGTCAACAATGCTTCGGGGTCAATAGTATCAAAGGCAGATCTAAAAGAATCAGCATGGACACTTGATTTGGATCATCACCAGTAGGAGATGACAAACCAACAAGAGCAGCACATGCTCCATGCTATACCTAGGTCTAAAATCAGACTGATCAGGGCTCAGGCCATCTGAGCACTCTGGAGTTGCTTTTCTCTCTTCTCCCTACCCTCAACCTGAAGGAGAAGATTAGAGAACAGATGGTAACTGATAGGATTCCCAGCCTAGAGCGTATGTGCCTAAAAATCATTTCCACATGACATGCCGCTAATCTGCCACGCCAAAGGGAGGCATTGACAGTCTCCACAAATAGTGGACCTGTGTCTTCCTGCTAGATTTTAATCGTTCTAAAGCTTCCATTTTGCAGTTGAAAGGCTGAAGTTCCCTGAATGCATCCAGTACCAATGCGAGCAGGGCCGGCTCCAGGCACCAGACAAGAAAGCACGTGCCTGGGGCGGCACATTGTAAGGGGCGGCATTCTGGCCAATTTTGGGAGCGGCCAGCCCAGCCCTGCAGGAACATGAACTAGCGATCCCCGCCACTCACCGTGCTGCCAGGCTCCCCGGGACGCGCCACTCCCGCCGCCTGCACCGGCCTCCGCCTCCCGTGCCGCTCTGAGCCCAGCCCGGCTGAGCCGCCTTTAAAGGAGCGACTGAGCCAGCACCTCCTGCAGCCCACAGGGGCTCCGCCTGCCCGGCCGGGAGAGACACCCCATGGGCGGAGGGCTGCCCACGGGCGGAGGGAGCGGGTGGGTGCCGCCCTTGACCGCCCTCCACGCGCTCCCTGCGGCTGCCATTTTTTATTTTATTTTTTTGCTTCGGCAGTCCGGCCACCGTTTGTTTGTTTGTTTGTTTTGCCTGGGGCGGCAAAAAAGCTAGAGCCGGCCCTGACAGCAAGCCATATTGGCTGAAACTCAAGCAGAGGAGACTCCACATTTGTATTCTTCCCCACACCCCTACTCCCCAAAGCAACTTCTCTGCACTCCCGGATGCTGATGGATCTGAAACTAAGCAATCTGATCCACAAAGTAGACTGAAAATTCTGCAATGGGAGAAATGTTCCACACTGAGAGCAGATGACCAGGATTAACCTGGGAGAGTTCTGGTGACCAGGATTTCAGAGATGCTATGGTAAAAGGGAAGGAAACCTTCTTTGCTTCCTGTACAGTCACAGCATACAACTAAAAAAAAAATTGTCATAACCAATGCAACTGAGTCTGTGACTTCCACCATCTGTCCTCCCAGGCATCTTCCCTCCCACTTCCGCTGTCACATGCTCTCTGTATTCCACTGTGACTTGCAAGCAGGGGAAGAGGGAATGGAGAGTCACTGTAATGCTGGTAGAGAACAAAATGTTTTAATATCCCACTAGCCCCCAGGTAGAGTAATGTTTTGGCTGCACAATAGTCTTCCTTAGAGCTGTCTGGAACCAGACCAATTAGTTTCATTAGTCACTAAGGTCAACCTTTCACATAAGTTCCTACCCTGGATAGAGTTGCTGGCTGTGCCCTGAAAATGAAGGAGGCAGAGGTTGCTTCACGACAAAGATTTAACATCTACTCTTGTCACCTGCATCCCAACTCAAAAAAAAAAGAGCTCCAATGCTATCCTCAGAATAATTCCATAACACTACTGATAATTGGTGACAGTGCTTCCGCACAAATGCTGCTAGTATTGCTGCAGGTTATAAAATTGGGGAGGTGAAAAATATGCTAGGAAATAAAGAAGGAGGAGGAGGAAACCCCTGCTTTTCAATCTCGGATAATGTTGGCCCCAAAATGTGTGAGGAAAAGCAACGTCTCCTTAAAGGAGACAGTTTTAAAGGGACACAGTCAGGCTGATGTTCACATGGCAGGCCTACTCTTGTTACAAGTTTCCTGTAAATGAATGCAATCAAAGAACGTTTATTTTTCATGTTGTTTGCCTTGTGCAATTGACAGGACCCTGTGGAGAGTCAGTATCACTAGCTGTGGTTGGTGCAGGCCATGCAAAAGGGGACTTGCTGGTGAGAGCAGAAGCAAATTGCAAGTGGAGGTGAAGGGGCAGCAGGCGGGAATGTGCACAGAGAGCAAGAAGGGGGTGGGAACATGCTTTAGTGTTAAGGTCCTGCACCCTTCTGAACATCAGCTGGGGAGTAGAGCCCTCTGCCCTTTTTTAAAAATCCAGGAGCTGCTCCATCAGAAATGTCAATTTTTGTTTTTTACAGTTGTCAGTTAGAAACAAATCAAGTTGACAGTGTCCCTTTAAGCAAGGAAATGAAAATCTGGGCCTCTTTTATAAAGAGAGACTCCCTCCATGTGGAAGCCCCTTGAAGTAATTCCCTAGTATATTCTCTTCACCGTTAGAGTCACCGGTAAAGCCGAAAGAATAACAAAAACCTAGCGCTTATATAGCACTTTTCATCAGTAGATCTCAAAGCACTTTACAAAGGAGGGCAGTACCACTATCCCCATGTTAAACTGAAGTGTTAAATGGATTCCTCTCTCTGCCCTAGGATCGGAATTCACTTATCCCCTGGCTGCCATGAACCTCTGTATAAACTGTTCAGAGCACTTCTTCACCTGGTCACAGTGATGTCCCAACAACAGATTCACACTTTGCCAAATTGAATGTATCCAGTGAAAAGCAGCCAAAACCTGTAGCCCAACCATGATATTCTCCTAAACCCACTCGGCTGTCATGCTGGAGGGACTCAAATTTACCAGACTTAATTGGAACAAAAAATCAGGCCTCTTACTTTCTGAGCGAGCACAAGACCACATCTACCAAACCTCCTTCTCTCTCTTTCATTACAAGTCAGCAACAGCTGCCAGAGCCACATTTCTCACTGTAAATTCCCCCCATGGAGTTTAATACAAGCCAGCTGTGAGTGCTTTCCTGGCCATGTGATTCCTTCAGGCCAGACTAGCCTTTCTCCCCTCCCCCATTCTTTCAAGAGCTGGATGCTAGTAAAACCGAAATGACGTTATGTACACAGCTTGTTATGGCGAGCCTCCCCATCCCCTGACATGCACAAACACGTCCAAAGCCAGAACAGATGAGTAACCAATGTCCCGCAGCGTGCTCTGCATAGCCCCGTGAAACTGACCGCACGCCCCACCCACCTCTCCTTCCAGCGCTTGGAAGAGTTCTCTGGCCAAACCTTCTTGGAAGTCGTCCGTGAAGGAACTTTCAGCAGAGTCACTGGTAGCATTTGAATGGGGAAAGCATGAACTATCCCAGCTCCTCAGGGTATGTCTGTACTGAAATCGGGAGGTGTGATTTCAGCACTGTAGGCATCTATATAGATCTAAGCTAGCTGGAGTAACAATAGCAGTGAAGCTGCGGCAGCATGGCATGGCATGGCTGGTCACTCGCGTGTGTGCTCCAGGTCCTGGATGGGGTTGCACTCAGGAGGCTAGCTGATGCCACTGTCCGGCTGCCACGGTTACCCTGCTCTTGTTACTGATGCTGGTTTTGATTCAGCTAGATAAAGGCAACTCGAGTATGTCTACCCCGTATACAATCACACCTCCCAATTGCAGTGTAGGCATACTTGCAATATAGTCCCTCCCCACCATCCTCTTGGGTCAGCCTGGCCTTTTGAGGCCCTGTCTTGAGCAGGATCTGTATGGTAGTATAGTATTTTGTCCTGGTTTCTATTGAGTATTTAGTCTGTTTTCTCTGAACAGTTCATTATATGTGCATTGATACCGTTTTCCCCTGCAGCCTTGTTCTTCGCTGAGGTGTATGCCGAGTGTCAGAAAGAGATGTTGTTGTTAATTAAAAGAGTGTCACTGGGCTTGGAGAGAATTAAGCATCAGGACAAGCAGTGCCTTCAATACTGTATCTCTGTTCTCTAAAGAAAGCAAAGTTGCACAGTTAGCCACTTCTGTGTGTCTTTGTCAGGCATGCACTGGAGGCAATGGGAAACTGCCCCTTGTTATGTGACAGGAATAGCTTTCAGTAATCCTGACCCATTCCATGTGTCTTTAGACCAGGAAATAAAGATTGGGGACAAGAGTTTTGAAAATGACTAGTGACTGTGGGTGCCCAACTTGAGACACCTGAAAGGGGCCTGATTTTCAGCAAGTGCTCAGTGCTCACCCTCTGCCTTGCCTCTACTGCTGTGTGCTTTGTGTTGTCTTCTAGCACCTTGTCGAAGTGTTGTCATGCCATGGTGGCTCTCCTCTACCCCTTCACCTGGCAGCACACCTACATCCCCGTGTTGCCGCCTTCCATGATTGACATCGTGTGCTCACCAACCCCATTCCTGATTGGCCTGCTCACCAGCTCACTGCCCCGCCTCAAGGAGCTACCGGTGGAAGAGGTGAGCCATGAACTCAGATGAAATTGTTGTATTTAAAAGCCACAGGCGTTGGCTGCACTGTGTTGTCTTCTCACCCAGAAGGGTTTGCCTCTTAGAGTGTGTCACTGTTTTAAGGCAGGGTGGCATTGTAACTACCTGTGGCTGCAGAAATACAGCTATCCCAGTTGTCAGTGAACTGCATCGTGAATAGAACCCATAACCTTTGGCTCCAAGACACACACGCTGCTACCTAGTGAGCAGGGACTTTGCTGCAATTGGTAGGGGGAACTGATATAATGACCTTCATTTTTCCTTCCTGTCCCACAGGGAGTTGGGAGAAGGGCTCCAGTGGTGATTTTGCTGGTGGGGTTTATTATTACAAGTTTTGTTATAGTTATAGTGCTACCAGGACAGTGCATGTGGAGAGTCAATCGCTGAGTCTGTCATGTATGAATTGTTCTTTTTAGAGATTGCCAGGGCCTGGGACGGTGGTAGTTAGTACAGACGCCTGTCTGACTGGCTGTATCAATTTGTTGTCTCTTGTCTTATACATATCCCTAGCCTCTGCTTGCCAGTAGCTGGGAATGAGCAACAGGGGATGGATCACTTGATGATTACCTGTTCTGTTCATTCCCTCTGGGGCACCAGGCATTGGCCACTGTCGGAAGACAGGATACTGGGCTAGATGGACCCTTGGTCTGACCCAGTATGGCCGTTCTTATGTTCTTATGTAGATTACAAACTCTTTGGAGCAGGGACTGTGTTTTAGTTCTGTTTCTACAGCACCTAGCACAATGCAATCTGGTCTGTGACTAACTAAGGCTTCTAGGTGCTCCCACATTACAAATAAATAATAATTATAAGCAGGCCTGTAAATAAATGACTAACTCTGAACAGGACTGATGTGTGGTGTGCAAGGGCAAACGCACACACACACAGCGTGACAGGTCATAACATTTTTCAGCCGTGCATCCAAAGTGTTTCTAGACTCCAGTGCAGGAAAAACCTTTGGTGGGCTACAACCTTCTGCCAGTCAGTGGCACTGATGGTGGTGAGGTGTTAAGGGAAATAATCTTTTAAAGACAAGCTTATATCAGAGACCCTGTTTTTCTCCCCACTTCACACCTGCTCTATAACTACCAACACTGTTCATACAGAGCTGATCTTTGCAGAGACATACTGAGCAATTACTTCCAATATTCCTGTGGCAACGAGTCCCACAGATTACAGATGATGTGTTTAAATTTTTTTTAAAGTTGCATTGCTTTGTTTTGTGTGATAGAATAAATACTAAATAGGAGTTCATGATAAATCCCCATATTATTTTGGTCACTCACTCATCATTGGCTGTGTAAAATAGCCTGTGGCTTCTTTATAAAGCTTTTTGCTTAGACAATAGATCTGATTGTGTTCTAGTCTAAGGGTTTGGGATGTGTAGGGGAGAGGCGAAGGCAGGAGGGTTAGGGAAGGCCAGCTTCTTTCAGTTCAAGCTGTCATTTTGTAGCTTGTGGTGAAGTGGTCAGAAAACCACAACAGGGGCCCTGCTGTTGACCAGTGTTTATATCTCCTCCTGCTGCTGTGGTTCTGTGAGAGGGGAGGAGTTTTCCTGGAGAGCCAGGAAGGCTTGGGATAATCTCTGATAACAGGAAATAACAATTCCCCATTCTCTCTTTGGTAGGTCCTTGTGGTTGACCTCGTTAATAACCGATTCCTCAGACAGGTGAGTAGAGCTGTCCCATATGGGGCTTTTTTCTCCCACTTCCTCCCTCTCCTTGCCTTGATCTGTATTTGCTTATTCTGCTTGGCTGGCTGGGCCAGGAGCACCTGCCTTGACCCAGGCTGGGAGGCAGGATTTGATGGCAGGTGCTGTTTAATAGTAATGTCACAGTTCTTTGTGCTTAGGTAGCACCTTAAAGAATTTCAAAGCACTTTACAAACATTAAACCCTCCATAATCCATGTGAAGTAGAGAAGCATTATCCCCTTTTAACAGATGGGAAACTGAGGCACAAGGCCTGCAGAAGTGTGTTGTCCAAAGTCACAGAGTGAGTCATAGGCAAAGCTTGGAATTGACCCAAGTCTCGACACTGTCCTTTGCTCTAAGCACTGGTCAGCACTACCTTCTAGGGTAATATCTGCACCTTCCAGTGAAGAATGGTTTTAGTAGATCTTTCAGTTTCTGTCATCATCGGTCCCTCTCATATTCCTCTCTGTCTAGTCCTTGCATTACCAGACCATAGTGGGAAGACAATAAATGGGAATCTGGCCATCAGTTTGCAGACAAATACACCTCTTCTGATTCCCTTTGACCTGGAGCAGAAGAGCATGAATTTTGGGGTGTCCTGGAACATATTCCTAGACCTGGAAGCCAGGGATTGATTATCTGGTGGTTTTGTTTGTTTTCTAACCAGAATCCACTGTGAATCACAACCACAACCCACAGAGTTCAGGCTAGGGCAGGAAATCAAGCATCTGGTTAAGACATTGGACTGGTCCAAGAGCGCTGGGTTCAACTCCCATCTCTGCCACAGACTCCTTGTGAGACCTTGGGCAAGTTTCTTAGTCTCTCGGGGCCACAGTTCCCCATCTGTAAGTGGGGCTAATAGCACTGCCCTCCCTCCTAGGGGTGATATGAGGACAATGGCTGTTTCTTATCTTTCAATACAGTTTTCGTATGTCAGCTGCTCTGGCTATGCAGCCCTCTTCCAGTGGCTTAGAGCGTGGCAAACCCCTCCCTTCTGACTCCCAACCCTGTTACTGCCCAATCCATCTGTGGTGTCTCTGTGCCTCTCCCGCTGCTCCCTGTATGGGGCCGGGAGAGGGGTGGGGGTGAAAATCACTTAGCCATATGCAGGTCTTAGCCTAGCTGCTTGCTGGCATTGTTTGGCTGACTCCCGCTCCTGATATTATCAGAGCAACACCTTACCTCCAGCAAGGCAGTGGGGTCAGGGCTGGGAGACGGGCGACATGATCTCAGATCGAACAGCTGAAACGAAAGGTTACAAATCCGTACAATGCGAGGTGGTAGCTGGGGGTGAGACACCCACTTTAGTGCTTATAGAAGGGATGGACAGTCCCGAACAGAAGGCACTAGATAAGCACCGAGTATTGTTGTTATTGCTCTCCCGGTCTCATAACAGATAACCTTCCATGCCCTTGCCCCATCTCTCCCGGACTCCACGCGAGCTAGCTGAGGAGAAATGCAGGTTCCCGGAGCCAGCACAAACCCCACCCTGAGAAGGTCCCTGAGTGTGTGCTTGTGTTTTCTAGATGGAGGACGAGGACTCCATCCTGCCTCGGAAGCTGCAGGCGGCGCTAGAGCACATCCTGGAGCAGAGGAATGAGCTGGCTAGCGACAAGGAGGAGGGCGCTCTGAATGGCAGACACGGTACAGCCTGCAGCCTGGCTGCTCGTTTTCATCGGGTGGGCCCGGCCCAGCGGCCCTTCAGTCACTTCCCCAAAAGGGGCAGTTTTCATCCCCTGGCCCAGATTTGAATGGAGGTTGCAGTTCAACGGCTAGAACTAGCTGAGCTTTACTCTCCAGCGCGCTGGTGACCTTTGCTATGTGACTGACTTCCATGGGGGTCTCCTTCAGCCTCTGCCCCATACGTCCTGCCTACACACACACACACCTTATCCACAGCCAGACTCCTTCTAGCCAAGGAAGTTGCTTTGGTGTCAGTCCTGGGAGTGAAGCCTTCCCCTCCAGCTGGGCAGAGCCTGCGGCCTCCACAGCACCCCCATCCTGGGCAGGGGTGAATCGGCAAAGTGAGATAAGGCCTCCTGCTTAGCCACTGGACTCAAACAGCACATTGGAGTGGAGGTTGATGGGGGGGCCACACTGAGGTTTTGCACCTTGTGCATGTGCCACGCTGGATCATCTGCCAGGGGCCTGCAGCCTACGTAGTGCTCCTGGGAGCAGTGGCAGCCCACTCCCAGCTTTTTAGTGGAAAGTACATGTTGAGGTGTTCTCTCTCCACAGCTGCTGCTCACTCTCAGACCCGTGCAGGGCACAGTTCCTAAAGAGGCCAGCAGGGCTAGTAAGGTGGTGTGGTACCAAAGCCAGGAATGCAACTTCAAAGTAAACCAGGGTGTGACCCTTCCCGCCTAGTGCATCCTCACAGTTCCACCACCAGCACCACCGTCACCTCATGGCTTTCTCTGCTTCTCCCCCACCTCTTCCTTAGAGTCCAGCCCCTTGAATGAAGTGGTGTCTGAAGCCTTTGTTCGTTTCTTTGTGGAGATCATGGGCCACTACTCCCTGTTCCTGACCCCCAGCGAGCGAGAGGAGCGGACCCTACAGCGGGAGGCCTTCCGCAAGTCTGTCTCCTCCAAGAGCCTTCGACGCTTCCTGGAGGTCTTCATGGAAACCCAGATGTTTGGAGGATTCATTCAGGAGCGGGAGCTGCGGAAACAGGGGGTCAAAGGTTGGGGCTCTTCTTCTTATTCCAGCTAGGCTTGTGGAATCTTTGTCATCGGTCCCCTGGGAGTGGTGGGTGACCAGCCAGCATCGTCCCCTGGAGCAGCACTGGCTGTAGCTCTGGGATGAGGCCATGATGACCATGTGTTTTTGAAAGATTGCAGTGATCCCATCCCTCTTTGAGAGAAGTGTGGCCTGAGTATAGACCCAGGTGCCAATAACTCCTGGGTTCCATTCCTAGCCTCTATCTCTGGTCTTGGATAAGTCACTTAAATGCTCGCTGCCTCAGTTTCCCTATCTTTAAAGCTGGGGGAACTATTACTTACATCACAGGAGTGTTGTGAGGCTTAGTTCATGTTTGCAAAGTGTTTTGAAGTGATGAGTTTATTAATGAATGCTGGGAAATAGCAGCAGTTTAGAGGTGCTTCTCTTAGCTTGTGAGCACCTTCTCATGATGTGTTAAGCAGCATAACTAGTTTCTGTCACATGTGGTTCCTCTTCCGTTCTATGTTGAGTTTTTGTCAGGGATGCTACAGAACTAGCATTAGCTCCAGTGTATTGATGTATAATGTATTTACTGTCGTAATGCCTCCTCCTGGGGATAGACATTTGAGAGAAGGGTGTTGGGAAGCTCTTAACTACTGTCCCGTGGCCTCTACGGTTCCACTGATTTGAGGGGCCTGTCTCATCCAAACGGCTGGTCAGTGCTGGTTGAGCCAGCTCCTCAAAAGATCTAATGACTGGTGGACATTGGAAATGGCAGAGGGATCAAAGAGCTTTTCCTAGATGGTGAAAATGTGGCCCCCAAATGTTAATTCCTCAAATGGCTCCACATTCTACTATCAGCTCACTCCCTGTCAGAGAGATCAAGAGAATTCTCTTAAAAAAGATTCCTCCATTCCCTCCACGAAGCAAAGATGCTCAGTCTGGCTAGTCATGCCTGCATGAGGAAGCAGTGTGGCCTAGTGGATAGAGCACTGAACTGTGGCTCTGGAGGCCAGGTCTGCCACTGGCCTGCTGGGTAATCTGGGGCAAGTCGATGTCTGCTCTGTGAGCTGCAATTTCCTCCTCTGTACAATGGGGATAGTGGTACTCATCTCCTTAGTAAAGTGCTTCTAGCTCTACTAATGAAGAGGTAGGTATTATTGTTATATATTTGGAACCGAAAGGATTGTGGGTCTTTTTTGCCGCAGGTCTGTTTGAGGTACGTGCCCAGGAGTACCTGGAAACGCTCCCCAGTGGAGAGCAGAGTGGAGTCAATAAATTCCTGAAAGGACTCGGTAAGATACCAGAGCAACCACTGACTTTTCACGGTGGTTGTGTTGCATGTTACTCTTAACACCAGCTCAGTGATTTGGCAACAAAGATGCTATTTTAGGTAGCTCCACTCTCCCGAGGGTTGAATCTGCTTTCCCCCGGGGCCTTCAGTCAGTGGTCAGGGTTGGGCCACGTATTAACGCACACGTATGTCAGTGGCACTGGGAGCTGCATTGCCGAGGCGGGGGTGGGGTGTGTGTGTCAAAGTTTGGACCCTGAGCTCATTACCTGACTCCCAAAGGAGGAAGGCTGGTCTTGTGGGCTAAGGCACTGGGATGGACTGGAGCCCCACATGGGCAAGTGAGCTAATCCCCCTGTGCTTCAGCCCTCTCTGCTGAGGTGAGGATGAGGAGATTACCTCCCAGCAGTGTTGTGAAGATAAATCTATTAACAGCTGTAAGGCGCTCCGCTATTGCAGTAGTGCAGACCATGTAAGTACCTAGAGGGACAGAGAGAAAGAGGGCTGGAAGTCCTTTGAAAGCACAACTTTTAACTCCTGCCTAAGGAGGAAGGAGGGAGAAGGCCGTATCTTGTTTCCCTTTCAAATCGCCCCTGTCCGGCTGACACATGCAGTGCCTAACTCCAGCAGGAGCCAATTCCTTCCTTGGGGGGGGGAGGAGGGAGGGAGAACTTGCTCTTGAACAAGACCCAGCATTGCTGGGGGGGGGGTGGTAATTCCGAGGCAGCAGCTCCCCCTCAGTCCTTGCTCCAGTTGGCTCTGGGGGTGAGAGATGGAGCTCAGACTTTCTCCACTGTATATGTGGCTATGTAACGGCTGTTTTCCTCACTTCATCTCCATCAGGTAGCAAAATGAAATTCCTCCACAAGAAATAAGAGTCACGAGCACCATCATTCCATGGAATAGAAGGATTTTACAATTCAGCAGAAACAAAATGAACTGTTACCAACCATTCCCACTTAGCCTGCTCCCAAGGGGGTGAAAGCCCTGGATGCTGAGCTCTGGAGGCAGAAAGGCCAGAATTTGCTCTTGTGTGAAAGTGGCCCCATGAGATGAACAGATGGTGGTAGAGCAGCCTGGAGAGGTCTCTGGACTCCTACAGTAACATGCACTGGACCAAGCACTCTAAACTCTGCAGTAGCATTTTGCAGACCTCCAAATTGATTTGATTTCTTAGTTATTATACTTTTGTTCTATTTATATTGGGGTTAGGAAAAATATTAACCATTGACACATGCCCTGCCTCCTTTCCGAGTGGCACTGTTGGATGTGATAATGGAGACTGGGGGGAAACGGTCGTATTACCCAGGACTGAGAACGAAGGAGGACAGAAGGAGGAGAGAAATAGAGGAAACATATGAAAATAGGTCTTGACAAAAATGAGGACACTGAGGACTGCAGGGATGCCGAAGGACATGGGCAGGTTGTGCTTACGAATGAGGAAAGGAGGTGGAGGGTGAACCACTAAACCTACTGAGAACTTGATATGCCAGCCAACTAATCGACCGCTATGCTCTGCAAGGCAGCTGTGTCACAGGCCTCGTGGAGAGGCCTTTCCTTGTATTGTCTAAGTTGAGAACCTTACACAATGTAATTAAAAGTGAGTGGCGTAAAAAGAAAATGAGTTGGGAATTATTGCTGAGAATTATAGATTTTTTTTTTAACCCGCTGCTTCATTTATAGATATTTTTCTTTAGCCTTCTAGGCTCACTGCGAAGAGCTACAAAAGGATCTCACGAAACTGGGTGACTGGGCAACAAAATGGCAGATGAAAGTTAATGTTGATAAATGCAAAGTAATGCACATTGGAAAACATAATCCCAACTATACATATACAATGATGGGGTCTAAATTAGCTGGTACCACTCAAGCAGGGCCGTCCTTACCCATACGCAAAGTACACAGCTGCGTAGGGCACCAGGAAATTTGGGGCCCCAAATTTCCTGGTGCCCTGCGCAGCTGCAAGCTGCTCCAGCCGCTGCTCTGCCTCTTCCCCAGGGCCCCTGCCCCTGCTCCACCCCAGCCCTGCCTCTGGGCAGGAATGGTGTCCCTACTCTCTGTTTGCCAGAAGCTGGGATTGGGTGACAGGGCATGGATCACTTGATGATAACCTGTTTGTTCATTCCCTTTGGGGCAACTGCCATTGGCCACTGTCAGAGGACAGGATACTGGGCTTGATGGACCTTTGGTCTGACCCAGTATGGCCATCCTTATGTTCTTCTGCCTCATTTTGTATGTGGGTCAACAGGGCCATCTAGTGGTCAAATCGAATAGTTGTTTATCCACCCACCCACACACTGATGCTCAAGCACTCCTGTTACAACTCTCTTATGTCTCTCACTTTCATATAACACCCACCAAAGAGCTCTCCAACATGAGCCCTGCCCAGCGTCCAACCCTTAGAAACAGGCTTCCAGAAGTTCAAGTGGGTTTCCCTTTTCCAGACCCCAACTTTGACAGGGCATCCGCTCAGGCACAAAATATGGCCGCTCAGCCAAAGCTAAAACCCTTCTGCTCTGCCAAGACAGGCAGTGTCTGTTGTAGTTAGCTTGTGATGCTGATGAATTCCTGACGGGTTCTTGCATTTTACATGGGATCTGACTGCCATGTTCTGTGGAAAGTTACCATGTTTAATGTGGGTGATTAATTATTAAGTGTTACACAGTGTTTGATTGGCAGTGGTGGCATGCCAGGACATGGCTGATGGCAAAGAAGGGGCACTGCCAATGGGTTCACCACCTCAGGCGCACCTGGAGCGAACAGCCAACTGTGTCCAAGGCAAATAAAAAGTTTTAGGACTCAGCCTTTGAAGGTAGGATGTTGTGGTGTTAGAATTTGTATTTCTTTATGTGGGTCACTGGCAAAACCAGTTTCATGACCCCTTTCGTTCCTAGTCCACTAGAGTATAGCAACTTATTACTGCTCCCAGCTAATGAGGTGGCTCCTTTTGTGGATGCGGTAGAGATCTGTGCTGCGACATTGAAGGTTCTCTGTGCAAACCCTGTGAGGATTCCCCGTGCCAGCGCTGTGCGGGGCTTTGCACATGCAGGGCTTGGCTCCTCCTGGCCAGCCCCAGACCAGAGGGTCTTGGGCTTTCCCGGGGTGGCGGCCCAGTCGCAGGCAGTGGGGGAAGGAAGGAGCCTGCTGGCCAGGCTGTTCCTGAGCTCAGTACTCTGACCAGGGGCTGGTTCTCCGTGCAGCGCTGGGAGTGGGATGCATGCCACCGAGGGTGTGGGGGATATGGAGGAGAAGCAGGGGAGAGGGGGTGAAGGGGAAAAGCAGGGAGAGGACAGCGAGTGGGGGAGCACGTAAAGGGCAGATGGATGGGCAGCAGAGGCGACACTTAACCGGCTGCCACTTGGTGCCTACCCACATTCACCAGCCACCACAGCTTGCAGCGCGCAGCCGGTGCCGGCCGGAAATGGGATGGGGGGGGCGGGGCCCTGCTGGCCGAGAGCCAGCACACAGAGGAGGCTGCGCTGATGGACCAGCAGGGGGAGCAGCCAGCCCCGTGCGCTACAACTTTGCCTCACCACCAGCCTTGCACACCCACCCATACCATCATCGGCCACTGGACCCCTCCACTCACCACTGGTGGGCGGGCGGCTGGTGAGCAGGGATCCGGCCAGCAGCAGGACCCACCAGTACTGATGGGGGGGAGAAGACAGAAAATACCGGACAATTTGTCCGTTTTTTAGAAAAAGTCATGACACCTGCAAGATAATATGAGACTGTCCCTTTAAAAATTGGACGTCTGGTCACCCTGCTGATGACTCATGGGGCTGGGGGTTTATTACAGGTCCTCCAGTTCCCTGTCAGAACCCTGGGGATCTCCTCACTGGTTCCTTGCACTTTACACCCTACACCTATATGATCCCACATAAAACAGGCTCAGGTAGGATTCCCTCCCGAGCTTGCACAAGAGCAAGATACTGGATGGCTCAGTGTGAAACACTCTTTCTGTGGGTGTTAATCAAAGCGCTTCTGCAGCACTCTCACCCTCTGCTAGCCAAGAAAGCAAGAGCGTAGGCCCAGGAATCAAATCCAGGCCTCTAACAAGGCAATATAGACTGTTAGGAGGACACTGTTAGGTTTAAAACCATATTTTTTAAAAAAATTGTTAGCAATGAAAGCAAATTATGAAAGCAGGAAGTATTTTATAATCTAATTTGCTTTCACTATTTCTGGTGTTTATTTTCTGCATTACACTCAGTTTGGACAATGAAAATTGACAAGCCAGTTTCCCTTTTGTTTAGAATGGATCTCTAGTTAATTTTTCTTTTAGATTTTTAGGCCCTAGCCCAATGCTGCAATGTCAGACTGTAAACACTGCCAGGGGAATGGCGATACATTTTTGCAAATTGTTTTCATTGGATATGTCTTATTCGATGCAAAATGTTTCTATTGTTTTTTCTTTAAAAGATCAGTTTTAAAAAAACCTACATTTGGGGTCTGATTTGACCCAAAGTGTCCCTTTAGCCATCAACGTGATGTTTGAAAACTTACAAGGTACAACTAGAGACATCAAGGGAGAAAAAATAAAATCACTAACTCCACCTGCACACGCTGGACTAGGAGAGGTCTTTGGCGGGATGGAGTGGGAGAGTTTGTATGTGGCTCACATGACTGCCTTATTTCACCTGGGATTTTGAACCTGGTCCCAAGTACCAGCCTAGCAGTTAAAAGAGAGAAAAAAAAACATGTTTAGCCCCATCACCATGAGGGGGAGCTGTGAAGAGTGGGCAGGAGGCTGGTTGTTGCTTCCCTCCCCTCCCCTCTCCTCTCCTGCTCTGCTGGTTCCAGGCAGCAGCTGTTTCGCTCCCCATCATCTGCTGAGCCATGCTCTGTCCTACCCTGTTTCTCTCTCTCTCAAGGTTGTGGGGAAGGGAAGCATAGGAGAATACAGGACATATACCAAAGCAGATGTGCTGCTAGAAGTTCTTCCCTGGCTGGCATGAGAGTTCCCCTCTCCTATTTCAATTGCCTTTTAACCCCTGCTCATGAAGACACCCAGATGAGGAGGGATGGGAAGTCCTGAAGCTCACCTGCTCCCTGGAGAGAGGCCAGACGGGAGGAGCCCCAAGCCTTCCTCCCTGGAAAGAGGAGAGAAGCCCCACATCCACCCTCTGTGAGAAAGAGAGTGAGTGGAGATGTCTCCTGAGGATGCACACAGGTAAGGGGAGCTTTAGGGATGGTGGTGTTTGGGGAAGGTGGATTATGGGGGAGTGGGACATCCCTAGAGTCAGAAAAGCACCCACAGTCCTGGATATTCATCTGACACCCCTCCCCCAGACCATGGAAGGGCCTTGACAATTCATATATTCAGCTTAAGAGCAGCCTACATTTCACCAGAGTCATGCATATAAAAGTCCCCTCTCAGCACCTGGGGGGCTGGTGGCCTTTGATCCTTGTGTTCTGGAGAGTTGTGCCTGCAAAACTTCTTCAAATGTTGGCACCTCTCTTAGAAGGAGCTGTGGTGGGTGCAAAGAGTGAGTGGTGGGCAGGGTGGACAGGTGCCTTTCAGAGAGATGGGTGAATGTTAATTAGCTAATGTCTGTATGGTGCTTAGTAATTTATATATTCTTTATGTTTGTACAGTGTGTAGCATAACTGGGCCTCCTTCCTGGTCGGCCTCTGGGCAATAACCCAGTATAAATGTGAGATACAAGTATGATTATTATGGGGACAGTGATAAATAGACAAACTTCATTAAGAGCTGCAAAGTGGAACCCTGGATGTCAGGAAGGGCTAGAGCAGCAGCAAAACAGGGTAAAACCAGCTGATTCTCAGCTGGACCTTTAAGACCCCCAAAGAGCCTTCCCCTGGGAGACTGGGTTTGCAGAGGTAGCTTAGTAACACTAAATATATCTAAAGTTATTGACTTTTTACCAAACTTGGTATTTCATTTATCGGGGTGTCTCTCTCAAAATGCTTTACTGAGTTAGATGAGAAGTGGAAGACAGAAATTGAAGCAAGCGTAAGGAATGTGTTTTCGAATGGTATAAAACGAGGCCGCGTTGAGGCAGAGAAACTGTTCCAGACAGTAGGAGCTGCGGAGGAGAAGGCTCTTGCATCAAACGCAGTAGGAATGTGGGAGGGGGCTGTTGCTAGATATGAGAAGGGAACGGGGCAGAGAACGGGTCCCTGAGGTAGTCTGAAGCAAGACTGTGAGGGGATTTAAAAACAAGACAGGCGGTTTTGAAGGGAATAGTGAGCCTGTGGGATTGTTTGAGGATGGGCATGATGTGGCTCTGCTTGCTCTTCGTGTGAGAAGACTGGCATCAGCCTTCTGCATACAGTGGAATGGGAAGAGCAGGAATTTGAAGCCTCAGAGCCTGCAGTCCAGGCTCAAAGTTGCTAGAGACTTATCATCTTAATCACCCCCTCCGCTTTCAGTGCTGCTATTTTGGGGTGTCCAAGCTGGGACGCTCGGCACCTGGCTCTCAGAAGTACTGTACGCTCCGCTTAAACTCAGTGCTACTTAATTTCCAGTTTTCCTCAGAAGCCAGTAGTGGCATCCACAAAAAATCAGTGGGGCCCGCTGCATAATGTAAGGTTAATTATGTGTAGGTGTTTTTTGTTTTTTTAAATACCCATTTCCTTCCATCAGTTACAA